AAAGAAACATACATTGACTATCTGTTGCATACACCCCCCAGAAATCAACTGCCAAAAACAGTTTTTAATGTAAGATAAGGACTTTAAGGACGCGTCACTGCGGCTCTCTATGGGGACGACCACAGAGGAGAGACGGAATGCACTGAGCTCTCTCCGTCTTCAGTTATAATATGTNGAAATTGCATTGCGTTTTAGACGAAGGAACCGGAAGAAGTTTACTTCCGGGTTTAAGGACGCGTCACTGCGGCTCTCTATGGGGACGACCACAGAGGAGAGACGGAATGCACTGAGCTCTCTCCGTCTTCAGTTATAATATGTTTAAACCAATTGATTAAATTTACTAATTCATTAACACAAAAATGTATTTTTGTGTACTGTTATAGACGAATAATAAAAATGACTTTACTTAAGAGTTTTGCCTTTTGTTGAGAGTAGCGAATCCTTGTTTGTTCCTTGTTCTTTCATTTTAAGGCTATCATTGTGTTGGACTGTATTATACTAAAATGGTGCTCACCGTATCTTGTAAACCTTATTTATATAAAAAATAAGCAGAAAATTGATATTGATAATCAACTCGTCTCATCGCAAAAATTGCAATATTATTTAAGCCTGTTGTGTACCTTCATGAAATAAGAGTAAGATTTCTACCAAAGAAAAGTTGGCAGAACCATCTGCTGTGGATTGTTGAATAAATCGGCACTATGTAAACCTTGCCGAAAAAAATGATTATCAAGAGCACAATATTCAAATATTTTGAAATGACAAAATCCAAGTTGAAGTGGCAAACAAAATGCTTTATATAATAAAAGCTGCTGAAGGCACTGCTCGCCCACTACAACTCTTCCTGAGATCACCTCCTATGTTCTCCAGTACTCACCAGGCTCCAGGTCCAGCTGACAGAGGTATTGGGAGGTGCTGAGGGTGACCACCACCACACGGTGCCTGAGGATGTCCTCCTTTGTGGGCATCTGGAAAGTCATGTGTGTGTTGGAGATGAGACAGTACTGCTGGACCAATGGGTTCACCGTCTTCACCCAGCGGTTCCTGAAGTATACCCTAGAGAGAGAACGAAAGGACAAACGTCAGCAGAGAGAAACAACCAAAAGAGAACAACATCAATTGCTTCACAGGTCTGATGTACGCCGCCCTTAACACCTGCATTGTACATTTAATTAACAGTTATTCTTAATTTTAATTAAAAAACATTGTTTAAGTAATTCAAAACATTGTTTGAAAGAGTAATGTGCTACACCAAGCTTTAACTAGTTAACTAAGCATGTATCTACATTCCCAAATGACATAGCACTAAAGTCTATAAATAGCTCACATTGAGATAAATGTTATGATGCAAACAACTAGTCCATGATGAGTACAGATCAAACTTATGATAACTCATTTTAAAGAGAGATTCTGGCATCAATGTATTTTATTCTGTTATGCTTCACTCCAAAGAAGGCCAACTATAAAGTATTGAATATTTTTGACAGGGAGAACCAAACATAAAAAAGGCTCATAATAAAAGTCAATAAATGTGCTATTTTAGGTGGAATACTCTTCCTTTTAGGACGCATGGCCGCATATAACAGTCCTGTTCCACATACTGTTACTAATTATTCAAACAAGGTTTTTATTCTGAGTCCACTCATCCCACATGCGACCAGTGGGAGCTGAGAGAGGATAATGGGCAATGCATTGAACTCAGAAGGCCCAGTCATGTCATTTGATTGTCCGTGTGGTCCCTAGGCTCACAGACACACAGCTGTCTCATCAGGCCGTGGCTGGTCAGCGCCTTGCTCTCCTGTCCTCTGTGACCTCTGGGCTTGCTGAAATGTGATTAGAAATCACTGAAGCAGCGTAAGGACGTTTTGTGTGTCTGAAGCCTCCACGTGGAGTTCTTGGGGTCACATCTCTGAAGCACGAAAATGTGCTTTGGGGCAAAGCAGCACAGCCACTAAACGATCTCTGCATCATGTGGATGGATTAGGCTTTCAAATAATGTTAATCCAGTTCATGATTAGATGAGTTAGTGTCAGCAATTTAAGGGAAGGATATTGTTTTTTTATTTATAGAATGAACCAAATACTGGTAGTAGTATTACTGGTACAAATCTACTTTACACACCAAATAACTGAGCAGATCACTGGCTATAAATGGCTCATAATGACAAACTATTACTGCATTAAGGAATTACAGTATATGTCTAATGTCAAGATAAAAGTGTGCTTTAGGGGCTGTAGACCTAAAACATGCAACAAGTTGCGAATTTTAACGGGATGGGGTGTTTATTTTTGTCAACTGTAGGTAAGTTGTGGTCTCAGTACCATTACATTATAAACCATGAAATTGTGGCCCAGTGGTACGAAATAATAAGCTAACCGTAAGGACATAAGATACATCTAAATATAAATGAACTGCAGCCTGCAGATGACATACCAATACAGTCAGGCAGAACATGTAGGTTCAAAATGTACCTTTAGAAGTGTAAGGTTTCCTTTAAGGCACTGATTTGTGTTTTAACTGCTGTACACACACAGATCACATAAAGCAAGTTTCTGCCCTTAGCCGTAAGTGTGCTTCCATACCTGAGAGGTCTAGCATGCGGATTGCCTGCATCGACGTAAGGATGAAGGTAGTCCTTGATGTAAAGGTCGGCCGCGCTGTTGGAGTGGGTGCAGATCAGGACCCTGAAGAGACAAAAGATAAACAATGTCAGACGCAAAGCTTCAATCGGTTCACTTAACCTGCCATTATGGGCCGTTTCCCTCTAGTTTCAGACAACTTGTAGAGGGACAGCGAGGCCATGGGTGTACTCATTGAAATTGAGAAAACTGTTTTTCGTAGTTACCCATTTCAAGAGAACTCACAGTGACATCGATATGCAGAGGAAAAAGTTATAGAACATGTACAATAACACAAAGTGACGAGGATCTATACAGCATCTTCATCACTTTACAGTGATGCAAACACAGGTATGGTGAAAAAAGAGAGAACTATTCGAAGCAGAAAGAAACAGCGTAATATACCATCTGACAAAGGCCTGTGCTATAATGCTTCAATTAACTGGCTATTATTTATAATATACTCAGATCAATAGGAGACAGATATTTTAAGTTATAAATCAAGGGTTTTTATTATTATTTACAGCAGGGGCGGGGAACCTTTTTCCTTTCAATTTTTACAACATCCTCCGAGGTCCCTACAAATTATTGAACTCAACCTCTGCTTAAAAAAACTAAAATCACAGACAATTCATTTGGCCTTTCTTTCATGCTGTGCAAAGAAAAAGCAACCTCTTAATCCAGATATCTTACCATG